ACACCATATGGAGAAAGAGAGAGAAAAACAGGAACGGGTATGAACACTTTTTTTCTTGAAATTACTACTTCGGACTTAAATTTTATTTCGAATATTAGTTTCTGACATGAGGTTTGTACTGTGCAGCAAATGAAGAAAATGAAGCAGACGGAGGAAGATCTGCTGTACGGCACCATCATCAGAACCCCAACCAAGAGAAGACTCGCTGGAACCCCGACACCTGGAAAAACACGCAAGGTACTGACTGCATATGTGTACTAACTGTCGATCAATATGATTTTACCAATGCCTTGATGCCAGTATCAATTGCAGGGATGCTAATACCAATAAAATAAATATGTAATCTATTGCAGTGTCATTTTATAATCATAGCAGATGTACACTACACTAAGGCCTGGTTTCACAGACAGGGTTTAGGTTAAGCCAGGATTTAGGCCATGGTTCAATTAGGACATCTAAATATCTTTTATAAACATGCCTTAGAAAATAACATTACTCGTGTGCATCTTGAGACAAAACAATGGCACGGACATATTTTAAGATCAGTCAGTGCAAGTTTCTCTCCGTTAAAACAGCCCAGACATACATTTTAGGGCTTAAGTCTTGTCTGTTAAACCGGGAGGAAATGTACCCGAAATTGCTGTTTTGCATTTATACTTTTCTAAAAGAAAAAAGAATAAGAATAATTTTATATACATTTAATGTTATTATTACACAAACATATATTAAACAAAATTATATATATTAAAAAAAAATGTATTTATTTTATTTTTTTTTAGCTGACATCCACCTCTAGCATGTGTAGCTCCACCCCAAACACGACACTCCGTTCCATATGCTCCTCCCCTTCTTTGAGACCGCCCCTTTCCTCCAGCAAGGTGAGTTATGCTGTTTAAACCTGTTATTATATATTAATTTCTATTCTAATCATTAAAACTGTAAACGGCCTCTCTGCTAGTTGTGTGCACGGACACCTGCCCGTGGCCGAACCCCTCGTGGTCTGGAGAGGAACAAGGAGAATATCTCCCATCTGAGCGGAGCTTTGCGCACGATGGCCGCCAGCCCTCAAATAAATTACTCCATTACATCCGTGGCCTCCTCCTACTCCGAGTTTGCGGTACGTTCATTATCCTGCAGTCTAGACGCACAGGCAGCAGATGTAATCAAGTGACCCCCGTGTGCTTATTCTGCCTTCTGTTATAGAAGGACTCTGAATCCACTGCAGCGTCCAGGTCTGTATATCTAAAAACGTTCACTGTCCATCACACTAACACACACTCTTCTCGTCTAACCCGACTAACGGAGGAGGGTCTGTGTTTGTGTGTGCGTGCGCTTTCAGCTTCTAACAGTGAAATGAGCACTTGGAGACAGAAACACAACAACTAAAATACAATCTGCTGTTTTTAAAGACCCTATGAAATCATAATTGGAGGTGTGTGACATTTAAAAAGTGGTGAAATGGCAAACTGACGGTTGTCAGATTATTTCATTGGGGCTTTAATGATATGAAATTAGTTTTTCTGTCAGTATTGGTCTCCTGGATCCACAGATTAGCTGGGCAGAATGGTGAATTATTTATCTGCTGTAAACAAGCCATCACTGATGTTCCTTCAACTATTTAAGCTTAGAGAAAAGATGAATCTTGCAGAGGGGTTTAGTTCACGCAGAAATGGAAACTCTCCCTCAAGGTGTTCCAAACTGAACACCTGCTGGTAGCCATTGACTTCCAAAGTATTTTTTCCCCCATACTATTTAAGTCAGTGGCTACCAGCAACTGTTTGGTTGTCAACATTCTTCAAGATATCTTATGTGTTCAACAGAAGAAAGAAATTCATATAGGTTTGGAACCATGATTATATTATTGTTCGTTTTTGGGTGAACTGTCCCTTTAAGACCGGTAAAAGATGCGTAAACATGAAGGGTTGTGTACTGTCTAATGGTAATATGACTTCATATTTGTGTTTTTTGCCTACAGCGGGAGCTCTCAAATGCCTCTAAATCCAGCGTCAAGGCTGGAGTTCTGAACTCTACCATCACACACTGAACTCCGTGGATCAAAGATGGACGGATGGGCATCAATGAAGACAAAAAAAAGCTTTTATGGAAATACTGAATGTGAATCATTTAGAATTTGTTGAAGAATTGTAAATATTTTAGCTCTGCATTTTACTATTTTTTTCTCTTGACTTGTTTTTTTATTTTTCTCCCTTTATTTAATTTTCCTTTTATGAGTTTTAAACAAGTGATTCTCTGTCTTTGAGCTTGACTTCACCTGCAGTTTTTATGAAAACTCCATTAACACTGATCTTAGGCCTCTGAGATGGATTTTATCTTTTATACTTTAAAATCACGATGCCATTTTTGCCTTTCAGACTTTATTTTCTGTAATTGCACAACACTAAGTTTACCTGGCATCACTCCTCTTGAAACATTGCTGCTACTGTGGTGGTTGGCATCCTGTAAATAAATGTTTGTTTTCATGGGGACATTTTGTACTTTGGAAGTGATTTATTTATTAGGATGGATGAGAATGAACATTGGGTGAATATTAAATTTATTTCTATTTATAGTATTATTCAAAGTGTGTACCTGAACAATAAACTTAAACAGCTGTTGAGCTGAAGATACACAGCAAAAATTCAAATAGGAGTTTTTGATCTCTTGTATCTGACCAATCCGAGACATCTCTGAGTTTAGTTTGTAGAAAGGCGCTATATAAAATAAACATTATTATTATTATAACTTATGAAACGCTACCATTTTATTTTTAACGTAAGCGCGGGCGTTTTTAACGTAAATGTGCGAGACTTCCGGTGTCAGGCAGTGCCAAAACTTTTATAGTGTTTGATGTTGGGAACTGTTATTTGTTATATTATTTTAATAGCGCAAATTTGATCGTTTACTGCACCTTGTTGAAAAAAAAAATCATTTTTGGACACTTGGGGGCGTGAGATACTCAGGTACTATGATAGTACCATGTTTTTTTTGGACAAGTACCATGGTATTATTTGAGGGAGGCATCTAACTTATCTATCGTTTTATCCGTGTTAGCTAAATCACAAGGGCTCAAGTACACAAATTAAAACATTTTTGCCTACAAAATACCAATATCATATAAAATGAAGGTTAGAGTCCTAAAACAATGTTCCCGGGACTAATATTTGTTTATATAAATATCAAGTTTATTTTAAATATTCAACTGCAACATTTATTAGAATAATGTTTTCGATATTTTTGTATTGTGACGCTTTTGCTGTCTTAGCTTGTTTTGATGTTTGAATATAATCGGCTGTTTAATTTCAGGTTTAGCTGTGACAATTTACCCCATTTAGTGCCGCTATTGGGGCATGTTGTCACAAAAGCACAAAGCTTTTATTGAATTATTGTTCGATAAATTGTATATTTTTAATGGGTAATAACGGTGGAAATGTTCAATAGCATGTTGTAGCCAAGACTTCGCGTGCCTAAATCAACCCTGAGAAATATTAAGTGTGACAACTAGCCTCTTCTCCCTTATTCGTGTGTGTGTGTGTGTGTGTGTTAGTGCTGAAGTTGCATTGCAGGGGTGGGACTCCTGCATTCAGATCTTCATCATGCGCAGAGGAAAACCCAGACTCACTTCAGATCGGATCTAAACCCTAAACACGCGCGAGCGTCAGAAGCGATCGGGTGCTGCACATGCATCTGATGCTGTAATGCGCGTTAATTGATGGATGAAAGTGTGCGCGAGCAGGAGAGGGAGAAACAGACACTGTTGAAGAAGGTAAGAGCACACGCAAGCGCTCATGATCTCGTGTTTATGAGCACTCCTATTTCACGTGCATATGCTGCAAGTGTCGCGAGTCTCTCCTGTATTATGACTGTATCTGCACATTATCTCATACAGTAATGTATTAGTATTTGATGTATTTCAGACACATGCGCTGCAGAATTATTGTCATGCGTTTTCTGCTTGTTGGTTTTGGTTCGATATGGAAGTGCTGATGCAGTGCGCGTGCCCGCGGCTCGGGTGGTTGTCATGGTGATCGTGATGGACCCTCCCCTGATGATGGGGGGGGGGCATTAATTTAACACCCAAGGGTCACATAAAACACTGCGGGGATTTTGGGAGTTTGTGTGCACTTTTTGTGTGTCTGATGGGTTGTGTGTGTTGTTTTGGTTGGGTTGTAACCGAAAAACCCTCCCGTGTGTGTGTGTGTGTGTTTGTGTTTGCGCGGCGGTTGGTCTTTCTCCAGAGAGGTTTCCTCCTGCAGGCAGCATCTCTCGTCGCTTGTGTTTCAGTGAAAGTGTTATTACGAGTCATTCTGGAGATTAAAAGCACGCTTGATTTATTAGCGTTCGCTCGCGTCAGTCCTGCGTGAGAGTCGCTGACAGTGCAGGCTTGAGCCCCTCCGTCCGCTTCTGATCACGGCCACTATTTTCTCCTCTCTGAATGCAGCGCTGTCCGCTGGAAAACTATCATATCTGAATGATTAGCGCCCCAGGACCGTTTAAAGCGTCTTGATGAGCTCTGTCACGCGGCCGCGGACGCTCGGTTCGGGGCTCATGGGGATTCCAGCGCTTGTTGGTGGAGGGGCTTTTAGAAGAAAATCCATTTGTTTTCAAGGTTTTTAGAATCAGCTTCTTTTTCCAGTGTATTAACTTTGAGTTTAGGGTTTCATAGAAGATACAGATCTTTAAAGGGATATTTCACCCAAAATAAAATTGCCATTCTTTTCTGTGAATTTCTGTTCTTCCATAGTACACAAAATGAGACTTTATGCAAAATGTCCTCTTTTTTCCATAAAAAAAGTGAATGGTTTAAACTGAAACTAAATGCTTATTTTAAATTGGTCTTTGGTTGTCACTAGTAATTATTATTTACCTATTAATTCTGTTTATTATATACTTATTAAAAAATGAATTTTCTTTAATTAGGCTAAAGATCAGGCTATACACACACACACACATATATATTATTAAATTATATTAAATAATAAATAGTATTAAATAAAAATATAAATAGTATATAAATATAGTATAAATAATATAAATAGTATTTAGTCATATTTAATAATAGTATTAAATAATAATATATAAATAAATTGGTGTTTTTTAAATAATTGAAGGCTGAAAAATGAATGACAATGAAGACTGAAAATTAAAATAAAAAATATTAATAAATACTATAATAGTATATAAACATTAAAATAACTGCATGAGGATGAGTAAATAATGACAGAACTTTACATTTTTGACTGAACCACCCCTTTAAAACATGTTTTTAAGTTTAAAAAAAAATTCAAACACACACACACACACACATATATATATATATATATATGCACGCCTTGGCAACTAATTGAAATAAGATTAAGTTGAAGGATGAAAACTACTAAATCTAAAAATGAAAATAGGCTAAATAAACTACAAATATAAAAATAATAAATAAAGCTAATCAATAAAACGAATAATATTAAAATAAAGAATACTAAAATAACTGCACGAGGGTGAGTAAATAATGACATAACTTTCATTTTTGGCTGAACTATCCCTTTAAAACTAGACCTTTATGTCTGTAGGATAAAGACTTTAACTTCTACACAACCACTTCAATCTTATTTCACTAATGAGAATCCATCCTTGCTTTTCTACATGACCTTAAAGGAAACAAACCAAAACCAACTGACGAAAGCAGGCTTGGGATTTCTGCTCCGTGATTCATTGTTTATCAAGATGATGGTTTACAGTTCAAGTCATTGTGCCATTTGGGAAATTATTTTGGGATATTGGCTTCAGCGTCCAGACGGTATCACTGATCCAAGAGTGTGTGTGTGTGTGTCCATCTGTGCTCCTGTAGTCATTACAGACTGAGCGTGGGCCGTTACACAGAGCTGCTGCTGATATTCCTGACAGCGCCTTCAACACATATTCATTTCACAGCAGACATGTGAAACCCATAATGCCCTGAACCAGCGCTCGTAACCCTGCGGGTGCAACTGTGAGTGCATCTCAGAAGCTTTAATTGGCCCGTTGTCATAATCTTCTACAGAAGTCTTCTCTCTGCTCCCGCTGCTTCCTTCATGTGATTACCCACAAGTCTCGGCGTGACTCACAGCATACACGCCTCTCACTTTCTCTCTCTCTTTAGACCTAACTACACTTTTTTTCCTGTCTCAAGTGTTTTTCTCAGGTTTGAAAAATCGCATTGTTTATGACTTTTGGTAACAGTTTACCATGGTGACCATAGATTCTGCCAAAAAAGCAACTGCAGTTCACTTCCTGTAATAAAAATGTGGTGACTTGTAATCAGTCACCACTGTCATCAAAAAAGAAATGAAAAAGAGAGAAAGATTATGAATGAGCTTATTATGCCAAAGTACCAATGTAATACTGTGACAATAATCAAACAAATTACTATAAATTTATAAATGCCAATAAAATGTAGACATGGTAGTACCATGTTTTTTGTTTTTGTTTTTTTTTTATATAATACCCAAGCTGGAGTCTGCAGACGGTCCACTAAAAATTTGAGAGAAAAAAATTACAAAATGTATTTTAATAGTGAAAAATAAAATTGTTATAATAAATGTCTGGATAGAGTTTAATAGAATAGAGTAGTAGTAGCAATATATATTATGTACACTAATTTATATTAATGTTATTCTTAAATATTAAATAAAATAATATTAAATATATAAATTAATCATATTAAATAAATATTATATAAAATAATTTACAACATCATACACCATGGCAGCACAACATTTTTACCATGTATTTATTTTTACCATGGTAATACCATAGTACTTTGCATATTTTCTGTGGTAATACTATGGTATTTTTTGTTATTTGGACGTGCCATGAAAGTACCATGTTTTCTGGCCTTTTTTGCATGTACTATGATGCTACCATGTTTTTACTGTGGTATTTTACGATATGTGCAACGGTAATACTATGGTATTCTTTTAAAAACCTTGGAGTATAGCGTACCATGAATATGTTTATAATTCAGAAGTACCATAGTATCATGGTCTTATCATCAAAGTCCATCACTTTACCATGGTACAACCACGGTATGTTATTTATAAGGGGCTGTTTGAAGTAGGTCATATACATTTATTATGGTTTGTATTAACAGTAACTGTTGTAACAATGGTTGGTTAGTGTGGTAAATCTATGAGGAAGTGTTTAAGAGTGTGTTGTGCTGTGTGTTTCAGGTGGCATTATGTCTTTGCAGGGTCAGGATATTTCTGAATATCATCTGAGCGGTGAGCAGTCATCCTTCATACACCTCTTGATTTCATATGCATCCCTCTAAGAGAGTTTCTGATTGTGTGTTTGTGTGTTTGTTTGTGTCAGTGGTGTTAAACCCACCTGGCTGGGAGGTGTGTTTGTTTGTGTTAGGGTTCCTGGTTCTGTTTGCTGTGGTTATAGTGAATCTGTGGAAATTATATAAATCTGGCTCCTTCCCGAATCCATCTCGGTTGGTTAGTGTGGTAAATCTATGAGGAAGTGTTTAAGAGTGTGTTGTGCTGTGTGTTTCAGGTGGCATTATGTCTTTGCAGGGTCAGGATATTTCTGAATATCATCTGAGCGGTGAGCAGTCATCCTTCATACACCTCTTGATTTCATATGCATCCCTCTAAGAGAGTTTCTGATTGTGTGTTTGTGTGTTTGTTTGTGTCAGTGGTGTTAAACCCACCTGGCTGGGAGGTGTGTTTGTTTGTGTTAGGGTTCCTGGTTCTGTTTGCTGTGGTTATAGTGAATCTGTGGAAATTATATAAATCCGGCTCCTTCCCGACTTCATCTCCGTACCCAAACTTCCACTACCGCTACCTGCAGGAGAAATATGGCTGCTCCCACTCTGAGATCAGGCAGAAGGTAATCAAACCACATTTCTGGAAGTAAGTTAAGCAGGGGTTTTCAAACTGGCATCTATAAGGGGTCCACAGAAAATTTGAGAAACAGTAAAACATACAAATATATGTATTATTAATTTTTAAAATTAATTATTATTTTTTATTTTAAAT